CCGACCTCCCAACCTAACACCTGGGTCCTGGAGTTGCCATTGCTGCTGCCACACATTTCTTTCTCAGGCATGCTGGGGCGGTGTGAGCACAGTGGCCTGCTGTGAGTGCATGCTGGGCGCCATGTGCAAAGCGGCCCGACCAGCTGTGAGCACATGCGCAGAGCACCTAGCACGGAGCAGCCCAGCCAGACGTGAACTCATGGGCAGAGCAGCCCGGCCAGCTGTGAGCACATGCTGGGTGCCATGCACAGAGTGGCCCCGGCCATGAGCAGTTGCTGCAGTGCAGAGTGGCCCATCCAGCTGTGATGTGCATTCCACCACGTGCTCTGAGCGGCCAGCAGGCCACACTTTATTCCTTTATGAAAATGTAGTGGTGGGCCACAAAAAATTTTGATCGGGCCATATGCGGCTCGCCAAACACCAATTTGACATGCCTGCTCTAGTAGAGCCTTCCCTTTCTTATTATTTTAACTTCTTTAGGTGGAGTATACATACTTCCCTTGCTAGGCTTCAGATAGAGGTTCATTGTCCATTCAGTCCATCCAATTTCTCCTTTGGAGGCTGCCAGCCAAGGCCACCACCATCCCTAATCCAGTCCGGGGAAGTCTTCTAGACCAAAGGTGAAGCTTTCTACTCCTGAGGGACACATTTTGATGTTTCCCCCTTCTAGCTGCCAGAGCTCTCCATTCACAGCAAATGCTATGCACAGGTCTCAGTGCTTCCCTTCTCCCTCTCCCTCCCTTTGCTAGGGCTAGCAGCCAAGGGAATGCTGGGATATGTAGTTTCTTCCCTGCTCCAGGGCCTGCTCTGTAGGCAGGGAGCTGGCCAAGGAACTACAGCTCCCAGGGTAGTTGAGCCCTCAACTATGCTGGATCGTTGTTGCTTGGAGGCTCGCTCTTGTGTAATAGAGAATGGGACGACAACATAAGGGTTTATTATGTAAATACTTTGCAGTAATGCAAAAAGAAGACATTTGTGTGGAATGGAATTAAATGTGAATGAAAATGAGAGATGGCCTTTGCAGTAATGCATATTTGAGAAGTAACATGAATAGAGTGTACATAATACAAATGACATAAATATCCTTTGCACATTGTCACTGATATACCATCAAAGACTTTTTGGTTATGTAGTTAAAAGGACACTATCAATGTAGAAATCAAATTTCTGTCCTAAAATTGTTTACATGCTAATGCTGTTAATAGCTCCAAAAGTTCCTATAACTGAAAAAAAAAATTCTCAGCTTATGTATTTACAGACCTTTGTATGCAGTCATTTTCACTGTTTTTCCTATGTATAGCAACTCGGTCCCCTTGTTCTTTGGATTTCTCCAACTGTGAGAAAAACACACATTTTAAAAAAAAAAAAGGAAAAGTGGCACTTTGAAATAGGGATGTCAGCGTGTAGTCTACTACACGATTAACCAATAAGCCCAGGCTTATGAGTTAATCCTGTTGACTGCATGTATCAGAGACAGCAAGGGGGAGGTGACTGGTGCCCATGGAGCTGACTTTTGAGCCAGCTCCCTACAAGCACCAGATCCTACAGAGCCGCCTGCCCCATGCTGCTGCCTCTGATAGAGTGGCGGGGGGGGGAGGGAGGCAGGAGCTGATACATGCGGGAAGTTGGCTTTCAAAACAGCTGCCCACTCGTATCTTCTCCCACGGAGCCACTGGCCCCTGTGCTGCTGCCTCTCTGTCAGAGGCACCGGTACAGGGAGGGGAAGCCGCTTCTGTCATTGGGGTTTGTCTTAGCCCCTCAGGAAAAATAAGCTGACTGAAATGTAGGTGCTAACAAACAGGGTTTTTATTCAACAATTCAAACAAAGTAAGGAACATAACTATAACCAGGACCCCCACAACTAAAGATAAGTGACATAAAGATGGTGCACGACTGCAACTCAGGTGAGTTGCCTTCCCCAGGACGGGACCCAAGTAAGGAAATGGAGGATTATAAAACCACTACCATATTCTGCAGCTTGTGGACCCTCACAATGGTGAGAGAGGTCCAGATTTTGTCTCCAGATGTAATTCGGGTGAGAGTGATCAGGCTGTGTCAGCTCTGTTCTGGCATCGTGGGTGTGTGTATGTCCTTGTTGATGAGGGGTGGCAGCTAATATCATACTCCTTGTGTGCAAGTAAGTTTACTTTCCACAACCAAAACCTATTGGCTTGGTGCTGGCGTGCCCTCTAAGTAGCTCCAGACTCTGCCACTCAGATGGGCAGCCCCTTAGAACTCCAGAGTTAAGTTAATGCCTATTATGCCCGCTGGCGTGTAGGGCAGCAACGAAGGTTCTCCATTTTTGTCTGTCTTTGGCCATTTTCTCCAGTGTGTCCCAGTTGTAGTTCATTCTCTTCATATCTGCCTCAACAGTACGCTGCCATGTTGTCTTGGGCCTCCCACGTTTCCATCATCCTTCAGGCGTCCAGTGAAGTGCTACCTTTGCAATGGCATCTGCCTCCCTTCTCAGGCCTTAAATAAGCTGCTGTTGCTGGGCAGAACCTAGGTCATATGTCTGCCTAGTTTTCCCGCCAAAACAAAAAAAGAGTGGGAAAGTGTCTTGAAGGGAGGAGGAAGAAGAATGGTCAAGAAGGAGTCCATGCTGTTGTTTGGACTTTTACAAAATGGCATACATGTGTTATTGATTACAAGAACTTTCCCCCTACATTACCACAGAATGACAGACAATCACCTTGGCCATTCCAGTCTATGATACCACCCAGACAGACTTGACTGACGGTTGGTATACACCAGGGCTATGTCTACTCTGGTGTGTTCTCATGCAAAAACTCTTTTGTGGAAGAGGTCTTGTGCAAAAACTCTTCCAGAAGAGAGCGTCTACACTGGCATGTGCTTTTGCTCAAGAGATGTGCTTTTGCACAAAAGCATCCATGCCAATGTAGATACTCTCTTGCACAAGAAAGCTCCGATGGCCTTTTTAACCATAGGGCTTTCTTGCGCAAGAAATTCATGTTGCCTGTCTTCACTGGCCTCTTGCGCAAGAACAGTTGCTCAAAAGAGCTTACAGTGAACCCTCGTTTATCGCGGTAGATAGGTTCCAAACCCGACCGCGATAGATGAAAATCCGCGAAGTAGGATCCTCAAAGCCTCGGGGGAAGCCGGCCGGGGGGCATCCCAGGCGCGCCTGGGCTGCTCCCCCGCCGGAGCCCCTCCGCGGCTTTCAAAGCCTCGGGGGAAGCCGGCGGGGGGGGCATCCCAGGCGCGCCTGGGCTGCTCCCCGCCGGAGCCCCTCCGTGGCTTTCAAAGCCTACTTCGCGGATTTTCACCTATCGCGGTAGGGTTTGGAACCTATCTACCGCGATAAACGAGGGTTCACTGTATATGTACAGTATGATGGGGGCTAATTTGGCTATGACAAATCAGGAAAGAGATCTTGGAGTTATAGTGGATAGTTCTCTGAAAACTTCCACACAGTGTGCAGCGGTGATCAAAAAGGCAATTAGGATGCTAGGAATTATTAAGAAAGGGATAGAAAATAAGACACAGAATATCCTATTGCCCCTGTATAAAACTATGGTACGCCCACATCTTGAATACTGTGTACAGATGTGGTCTCCTCACCTCAGAAAAGATATTTTGGCCTTGGAAAGGGTTCAGAAAAGGGCAACTAAAATGATTAGGGGTTTGGAACGGGTCCCATATGAGGAGAGGTTAAAGCGACTGGGACTTTTCAGTTTAGAAAAAAGGAGACTGAGGGGGGATATGATAGAGGTCTATAAAATCATGAGTGGTGTGGAGAGGGCTGATAAAGAAAAGTTATTTATTAGTTCCCATAACAGAAGAA